GGGTTGGGTGTGTGTGTGTATTGGGGGGGAAGGGAAATTATGCCATAGTGCAGTGGAATAGAAAAACAGAAAAAATGAGATAAAAAGGAACATTTTCCACAATCAAAGGATTGAACTTAACCAAAATCTCATGGTTGGAGATACTCAATTTAATAGGTCTGATAATTTAGTCACAAGCCAATGCGATGGCAGTAGAGTTGTGACTAATTAATTGAGTGATGTTTTACATTCATCTATTTGCTTATGAATAGCTTATGGGATTGAATAAAATTTGGATGAAGTTTGGGAAAGAATGCTCGGAGTGAAACCATTACTTAGTATTTTCTAAAGTAAGGAGAGAAAAAAGGTAATGTTAGGAGATGAATTCACTAGCCCTACTAGTGAGTAAAACTCTGTCTTGTTTGCTCGGAGCTCTCATCCCAACTTAGATAACCAACAAAGAAAGGGAGGGTCTTAGTGTAATCATTGTAGAAAAGCATGTGATACTCGAGACAATTATTTGAAGTTGATGGAAGATAAGCTAATTTGAAGACACAAAATCAACTGTAGATAAAGAAAATAAGAGAAATTATGACTGATGAATGTTTCTAGACTAAGGAATCATGTCCATTTAGCAAAGAGCAGATAAAAGCCCTCTAAAACATGTTCCTGCATCAAAACTCTATTAATAACAACATAAGACTTGAGACAATTGAAAAAAAAAGTAATTCTTTCAATGCTCTTAATGCTATTTTAGGAAGTCAATCTACTTGGATAATTAACTCAGGGGCATCCGACTAGATGATAGAAAATAAAACATTATTATAATAATATAATTCATTCAAAGAGAATCTCATTGTAAAAATAATGGATCGATCTCACTCAAGAGTGGCCCGAAATGTGATCCCTGTCTTAGAGGAGTTAATCTTAAAGGAAGTACCTTATGTACATAATTTGTATTGCAACTTGTTATTAATAAGCAAACTTATACAAAATCATAATTATAGTACTAAATCTTACTCAAACTTAAGCGAATTTCAGGATCTAGATTTTATGAGGATGATTGGCAATGCTAAGGTGTATTACGGACTTTTTTTTCTTTAAAGATAATGGATCTTTCAGGAGGCAATCCTATAATGCACTATATGTTGATTGTCAAGACAATTCAACTTACTTATACAATTTTAATACAATATGTTATGACATGATCAATTGGGACATCTAAACTTTATATACCTTCAAATTTGTTCCCTTCTTTATTCAAAAAATAAAAATCGAAAAAATTTCATTGTGAAATATGTTAATTGTCAAAACATACTCATATTATATATTCTTCATTACCCTACAAAGCCTTTAAATCATTGATGGTACATAGTGATATCCTAGAGCCATCTAGAATCAACAATATTACTGGTACTAAATGGTTTATTTACTTTATAAATGATCATACAAGAGTTACGTAGTTATTTCTCATGAAAAAAAAAATCAGGAGTTAGCTATATATTCAAAAAATTCAAAACATGGTCTTAACTCAATTCTACACAAAAATACAAGTATTGAAGATAGATAATGCAAAAGAATATTTTGAAAAAGAATTACGTATGTATCTTAAAAAAGAAGGGATTGTTCATCAAAGTTCATTTGTTGATACCCTTCAACAAATTGGATAGCCGAAAGGAAAAATAGACATATCTTGGAAGCTGCTCGGTCTCTCATGTTCACAACTTAAGCTCCAATATTTTTCTGGGGAGGAGCTCCTCTGACTGCAAGAATGTCTTCTCAAATACTTGAGTTTCAAACACTTTACTAAGTTATGCTCTAATATTTTTCTACCACTCGACTTCTATTTACCTATCTGTCAAAGTTTTTGGTTGCTTAGTCTTTCTGCACGTACACAACCATCACAGTAGCACACTGGACCTCAAATCGATAAAATGCATTTTTGTAAGGTGCCCATCAGTCACCTGGAAGTTTTATAACTCCACAGACATCACATATTATGAAAACCAATCATACTATAAAATTGGTATTCAAGAGAAGAAGAATACACGAGTATCCCAATTTTGGGAGTTTACTATTAAATATGTTCATCCTTCTCCAACTAAACTTATTCAGTCTCCTGAATATACAGATCAAGATGGGGCACTTGAATCTGAACCTACTCATCACACTGAAAAATTTGAACTTCGGTTCTACACCAAAATGAACAAGAACCAAGAAAAGAAAGAGTCACATCACCTGATCAGTTATGAATCTAATCTAGATCCAGATCCAACATCATTGAATATTTCAGGTAATCCATGTTTAGGTCTCTTCCTTGATCTGTTTAATGACAGATTTATCACTTTAAGAAAACAAAAAAAAAACGTACACTGGTCATTCAATTTATAATTTTATTTCTTAAAAAGGTTTATCATCAACTCACTAGATATTTATTAGCAATATTGATACAATACAAATACCAAAGAAGATACATGAAATATTAAAAGTACTAGTATAAAAAATAATAATTATGGAGAAAATACAAGTCTTAGAAAAGAATGAGACTTGGGAAATAGCAAAATTATCCCTTAAAAAAGAATAAGATTTGGGATATAGCAGATTACCACTTGGAAAATACTCGGTCGATTGTAAATAGGTGTTCACAATTAAGTACAATGCTGATGGTAATATCAATAGATTCAAAATTCGGTTAGTAGCCAAAAGTTTTACTCAATCTTTCGGAATCGATTATGAGGAGACAATTGCACCAGTAACAAAGTTTAATATAGTCTACACTAATGTTCGTAGTTGACAATCTGGATTAACCACTATTCTAAATAGATACGAAGAATGTTTATCTCAATTGAAAGTTAGAGGAAGAAGTCTACATGGTGATATCACAAAGCTTCGAAAGTCAAGTCACTAACAAAAAGATCTGCATGCTGAAGAGGTCCCTATATAGACAAATAATTTTCAAGAGCATCGTTTGAAAAATTCACTAAGACAATGAAGAAGTTTAGATATAACTAATACTAAATAGATCACACTGCGTTTATCAAGCATGATCATTTAGGAAAAAAGACAATTTTCATCGTATATGTAGATGATATTTATTTTAAGACATGACACAGAGGGGATACTCAAAGTAAAAAAGGTCTTAGTTAAAGAATTTGATATTAAAGACATAAGAAATATTATATATTTATCGGGAATAAAAATTTGTAGGTCGAGGAAATGAATCTTATCTTCTCACCGAAAATGTGTTGGATCTTCTTAAAGTGACCAAAATGCTTAGATGTATATCCAGAGACACACGTATGGATTCCAATATTAAATTAGAGAGTAAAATTGATTGTGCTCTAGTTGATAAAGAAAGGTATCAAACTAGTGGATCAATCGATTTACTTCTTACGTACTAAACTATATATCAGTTTTGCCGTCAGGATATGAGTTGATTCATGAATAACCCAACTCAAAAACTTATTGAGGCAATGTTTGGAATTCTCAAGCATCTAAAAATGACAACTAGGTAGGAACTATCTTTCTAGAAAAATAGAAGCCAAAAAATTAAAATATAAACTGATGTAAAGTAGACCGGTTCTATGATTGATAAAAAATTCACTTTTCAATACTGTACATATTGGAGAAACTTAGTTAATTGGAGAAGTAAAAAGCAGTCAATGGTATCAAGGAGTATTGCTAAGGGTGAGTTTAGAGTTTTAACGCATGGTATCTATGAAAGAATGCGGCTACAAAGGGTATTGGGTGGATTGAGATTTCCCTCCTTAGAGTTTATGAAAGTGGTTTATATGACAATCTCCTATTAAGATGGAATCATAGTCGACTTTCGTAACTAAAAAATCTTTTTTTTTTATAGAACTGATTTATATTTAATTTCCTAGAAAAACGTTCTCTAATTTTCTCCTATATATATTCAAATTTTGTAAATTAAGTAACATGAACAAAAATTCAATAAATAAAAATTTAGAATAAATTTTTCAGTAT